GCGGATCCAGAGACAGAGAAACAGCAATCAGACTATTAATCCCCAGAGGGAAAGTAGGGGAGGGTTGGGGTAAGGGGAAGAGATTTACCAAAGAACTTGTATGCATGCATATAAGCCAAACCAATGGACATGGACAACAGGGGGAGGAGAGCATGAGTGGGGGAGGGGAGGATGGGGGTTAATGGAGGGGATGATGACACATTTGTAATTCCTTAATAAAGAATTTTAAGATAAAAAAATTCATCAAATGGTATATTTAAGATTTGACATTTCACTGTATAAAACTTTATCTCAAAGAAAAAAACTATTGAACTGTAATTAATGACATTTATGCTGAGGTCTTTAGTGGTTAAAATATACTGTCTATAACTTTCTTTGAAATATATCAACATAAAGATGGATTGATTGATGAACGAAGAGATTGTTAGATGGGTAAATGTGAAACAAGATGAAATAAATATTGGTCTCTATCTTCTGGTTTTTGACACAGAGCTCCAAAAACCATTGTATACAGGGGTGCTAGAATATTTTGTTCTAATACTTAGTTTTTGACCCATTTCCCTGGCCACTGCTACTTCTGTACATCTTTCATTTTATCATCAGCCTCTCCCAAGTTCAGTGTACCATTAGCTTCTTTCAGCTTTTGACCTCATTTTCCACTCAGATATGAGATGCATAGTAACACAGCCCAGGCAAAGGCAGCAAGCCAGCCTCAGGATCCATCCTTCTCTGTAATGCCACTGCACACAGCCTACCCGATGGGCCCCAGGCAGGCATAATCACTGAAGATGAAATATAATGCTCTTCTCTTGCTCCCTCCACTTCCCACTTCCCTGGGAGATGATGTTGAAGAGTACCTGTGCAGGAAAATTACCTGGAAGCTTTTTGTTTGAGACTTGCCTTAGGCTCACTTTACCATACTTTCATAGTAGTAACTAATCTAAAACTACAAACCACTTTCAAAATAACTGTGGGTGGTAACCCCAACTTACCAGCATAACTTGGTTGATTAACATTTCCTCCTTTTTCAATACAATGATGAACAAGATGAAAGTCATTGAGAAGAGCAGCCTTATGCAGTAAATTCTCTCCAAAAATGTTTCTCCGGTTAATGAGAGAAAGAGGTATGTTATTCATCTTCGTTTTTTCTAAAAAGAGGGAAGGAACAAAAGAAACCAAAAAATAATAATCCTTACTTGAAAATCAGGAGGAATACAGATGACACAGTGAATCCAGTCAACAGAATAGATATACACTGTATTATGAAAGAGTATTTCATCGATTAACCCAACTATAACATCTACATGAAATAAGGTCAAAGAGACAAACATTAATTTGAAGTTATAAATCATCTGAGCAGTTTATGTTGATTGAAACCCATGAAAGGTGCATATATGAGAAGATTAACAGGTTTTCCTTTTTTTTAAACCTTTATTGTTGAGAATAAGTTTTTAATTTCTTGCTCCCTCTCTTCTCCTGGCACCACCATGATGTGCATGTTGGTACACTTGAAGTTGTATCTGAGGCTCCTTACACTATCTTCTTATTTTTGGATTCTTTTTTTCTTTTTGTTGTTCTGATTGGGCATTTTTGGCTTCCTCATATTCCAAATCGCTGATTTGATTCTCAGAATCCTCTACTCTATTATTGAGTTCCTGTATATTATATTTTACTTCAGTTAGTGTATGCTTAATTTCTGATTAGTCCTTTTTCATATCCTTGACATTCTCACTAAGATCCTTGAAAGTCTCACTAAATCCCTTGACGTTCTCATCAAGTTCCTTGAAGCTCTCACTAAGATCCTTGAGCATCCTTATAACAATTGTTCTGTACTCTGTATCTGATAGTTTGCTTGCTTCCATTTCATTGTGATCTTTTTCTAGAGATTTCTCCCATTCTTTCACTGCAACATGTTTCTTTGTCTACACATTTTGCTGCTTCTCTGTGTTTATTTCTATGTATTAGGTAGAGTTGGTATGTCTCTCAGTCTTTATTAGAGTGGCTTTGTGTTAGGTGTCCTGAGGGCCCTATGGCTCATCTCCTCAGTCACCTGAGCTGGGCACTTTAGGTGCATCCTTGTGTGGGCTGTGTGCACTGTGCTGTTGTAGTTGAGCCTTGACTGCTGTTGGCATCACTGGGAGGAATTGACCCCTAGGCCAATTGGCTGTGAGGACCAGCTGTGACTACAGCAGAAGAGCTGCTGTGCAGAAGTTGACATGAGGCCATGCAGCATAAGCTACAGAGTGATCTGCAGAAGGCTGCTACTTGTTTTGGGTTTGGAGGTACTCAAGAGAGGCCAAGCTCTGAACTAAGGCAGGCTGCTACTAGTGCCAGGCCTGGTACCACTTAGCAAGATGTATGGGGTGTAATGAGGTGGCTGCTTCTTGTTTGAAAGATTTTAGGAAAGTCTGAAGAGAGGAGAGTTGTATGGAAAAGCCACTGGAAACGGCTTGAATGAGCCCCCAAGTTGGGTATGGTAGGATCTCAGGGAATCACCAGGATGGGATGAAAAGTGTGAACCCAGTTGATGGAGACTCAGATATGCCACCAACTGTCAGTTCTGTTGGGGAAGGGCTCAGCAAAGGAACAGTGGCTCTGTCAGCACTTTTGTCTGGAAGAAAGCTTCTCCAGAAGCTTTTGCACTGATGCCAGACAATTAGTTACTCCCTTATGTCCCTGGTTCTTTTCAAGCTGCTGCCCCAATGAGGTAGCTCAGAGGGAGTAAGTCCAAATAAGTTAATGAGTGGGCCCTTTAAGAGGAACTGCCTGGGACTCCAGCAGCCTCCATGTCACTCAGGCACAATTCCTGATGGTTTTTACAGCCTGAAGTATGGGGACTTCTCTTCCCAGCTCTGGACCCTGCACTAGGGGTCTGTTATGGTGCTGAGACAGCTCACTTTTCAGGGATGACCTCTATAGCCAATATATCCTTTTTATGTAATTAATATAAGTCATACATCTAAGTTTTAAAAGGGTTCTAAAACTATTCTCTCCAATAAGTATAGAAAAAATACCAGCCTATGACCCAAAAGTTCAGGATCAAGTCCTAATTATGCTACTGATGAGCTGTGCATAGCTGGGAAAAATCCTTAACCTACCTCCTTGAATTGCTGCATCAGTAAAATGAAAACGTTGAGATAGATAATCTTTAAATCTTTTTTAGTACCAGAATTCTATGTTTCTGTAAGTAACTGCTTAAAGAAATAAAATGTTCCTCACCTTTCTGTCTCTTAATTTTTCCATTTTTCCAGATTTGTTCTTCACTCTTCAGTCTGGATGAATGCATATTCTTCCTTTTACCTTCAATCACTAAAGCAGTACCCTGCATTCTTGAAAAATACGTTTTTTAAAAGTTTATTTTTTTAAATTATTCTCATGTTCTCTATAACCATTCACAGAGAGCCATATAAAATTCTGACTAAATTTTTAAAACTCAAAGGTATTTTACTGAGCTGCTGTCAAGCAGCACAGCAATTTTAAATAAGGAGATGGCTCCTGAGAAAACAGCAGATAAATCTGTGGCAGGTATGCTAGTCAGTACAGTTTCTAGCCTATTCTTAGTGGCACCTGTGTGCTTCTCTCCTTTAGGGGAAGTCACCTGCAAGTGTATTCTGAGTCTCTTGCCCCTCACTCTCCCAAGTTGACATGCGACTATCCACTCTATTTACCTTCTAGGGAAAAAGAGGCAGGCTCTTTGCAAGAAAAAGAACTTGCCATGTGGTATGGCACTGATCAAAAGCTGCAAAATATTGGCATAAAAGCAGACATGCAGATAATAGGAAGCCTGGAAATAAACCTAATCATGCATCAATTAATTTATGATAAAGGAGCCAAGAATGTGCAATGGAGAAAAGATAGTCTCTTCAATAAATGGTATTGGGAAAACTGGACCACCACATGCAAAAGAATAAAACTGGATCATGATCCTACACCATACACAAAAATTAGCTCAAAATGGATTAAAGATTTGAGAGTATGACCTAACACCATAAAGCTCATAGGAAAAAACATAGGGGTAAGCACTTTCACACTTGTCTTGGCAATTATTTTTTGAAATTAACACCAAAAGCAAAGGCAACAAAAACAAGCAAGTGGAACTACACCAAACCTTCTGCAGAGCAAAGGAAACCATCAATAAAGTGAAAAGGCAACCTACTGAATGGAAGAAAACATCTGCAAATCATATATCTGATAAGGGGGTTAAAATCCAAAATATATAAACATACAACTCAATAGCCAATAAAATATGATTTAAAAATGGGAGAGATCCTGGCCAGTGCGGCTAAGCGGTTGAGCATTGACCCAGGAACCAAGAGGTCACCAGTTCAATTCCCGGTGAGGGCACATGCCCAGCTTGCGGGCTGGATCCCCAATAGGGGACAGATAGGAGGCAGCCGATCAATGATGTTTCTCATTGATGTTTCAATCTCTCTATCCCCCTCTCTTCCTCTCTCTCTAAAAATCAATTATAAAAACATTTTTTAAATGGGAGAGGAACTAAAAGGACCTTTTTCAAAAAAAGACATCCAAATGGCCAATGGATGTACATGAGTTATATGTAAAAGTACTCAACATTACTAACCATCAAGGAAATACTAATCAAAACCACAATGAGATAGCACCTTATACCTGTGGAGTAGCTATTATCAAAAGATAAGAAATAGCAAGTGTTGGTGAGCAGATAGAAAAGGGAATGGTTGTGCACTGTTATTGGGAATATAAATTGGTGCAGCCATTACAGAAAACAGAACGGAGTTTCCTAAAAAAAAAAAAATTAAAAATGAAACTACCACATGATCCAGCAATTCTGCTTCCAGATATTTATCCAAAGGAAACAAAATCACGATCTTGAAAAGCTATCTGCACCTTCATGTTCATTGCAAGATTATTTACAATAGCCAAGACATGAAAAAAAATCTATATTGTTGGATGACTTGATAAAGAAAATGTGGTATAGATATAGAACAGAATACCATCCAGCCATAGAAAGGAAAAAAAAAAACACCCTGCCTTTTTTTTAATTGATTTCAGAGAGGAAGGGAGAGGAGAGAGGGAGAGAGGAGAGAGAGAGAAAGAGGGAGAGGGAGAGGGAGAGAGACAGAGAGAGAGACAGAGACATCAATGATGAGAGAGAATCATTGATTGATCGGCTGTCTCCCACAAACCAGGCATGTGCCCTTGACTGGAATCTAACCTGGGACTCTTCAGTCTACAGACCAATGCTTTATCCACTGAGCCAAACCAGCTAGAAATACGTAGAAACAAAAAATACCCAACCGGAAAAGCAAAAAGAAAAAAGAATCCAAAAATATGAAGATAGTGTAAGGAGCGTCTGGGACAACTTCAAGCGTACCAACATCTGAATTATAGGGGTGCCAGAAGAAGAGAGAGGGCAAGATATTGAAAACCTCTTTGAAGAAATAATGACAGAAAACTTCCCCTACCTGGTGAAAGAAATAGACTTACAAGT